CTGAGGGCTTAGTTATATGGTCTATCAGCAAAGGACACTGATGAGTGTGGTTCATTCGTTGTTCTCTCGTGGAAGACAGCTAAGAGTGGAAACGTCTGAGAGCCGTCTCCTCGTTGGCCTCACGCGGTGTGGGGTGGCCCCTGAGCCATCTTCTGCTGTGGGTGAGGATGCTTAGATGTCACTGAGAGGAACAAGACTAAGAAATAATCTGATTTGGGCACTGTCCATAAGAACTGCTCTAAACAGCAAAGCTGACAGTCGAAGCCAACCTAATATAATGCAACAGTACTGCTGTGAGGCACCGCCCACCCTGAGACCATTGATGACCATAGTGCACCAGAGCGGGAAATGAGGCATTTGTGTACAGGAATTGGAGGTAACAAGGCTTTGCCCTGAGCTTTAAATGGTGAGTTGTGGCGGGATAGTTACACTAGAGAAACAACAGCTGAGGTGGAGGTGCCTACAGTGGCATTTGGGTTTGGCTTGGTTTAGAGGTGGGTCTCCCAGCCAACCTGCTCCTTCCAGCTTGGTACAGCCTCAGAGAGCACAAGTTGGATTGCCCTCAACTTGCTTGTGCTCTTGCTGGACACCTTATGCATTACAAGGATAACGAGCATTTGGTCCACAGCAAGCTCAAGCTACTCCATGTCCTGAAATGTGTATGGCATGTATGTTGGATCCTCTCCCAAGGCTGCTTCACCAGCTGTGTCATTCTCCAGTGAGTTATGTTATCTGCATACTCATGATAGAGCCAGAAAGGCCAGGGAGCTAGAGGTCCTAAAAACCAGTGGAGCAGTTAAGAGCCTGAGCAAATTATTCCTTGCAGTGGAAGCAATTTTAATTTCCTTCACCCCCCCACCCTCCCCTTTTTATTTTCTTTTTTTAATTTCAAAGCCAGGAATAAGAGAACAGATCAAACCACTGATATCTTCCCAGCTTCCATGTGCTGCTTCATCCTGAGTGTAGAAGAAGATCATATGCTTTTAGTCATAAGTAAAACAAAACCTTAGTGAAGGTGGGTGCAAATCCCATACGAATCAAAACAGACGTAGGACTGAATTTCACTAGCTGTCCTTCTGCCTCCTGTTTTATGATTATAGCAGCTAAAGAATTGCAGTGTAAGGGAATTAGGAAGAGAGGAGGCACAGATAAACTGTGGTTCTTCAGAGCTTCCTGATCCCTTGAAGCATGAACTAACACTGTGAGGAGGAAGGAGATTGTGCTGGATGATACTAAAAAGGTTAATCAAGCTCTGAGGTTTAGCTATTGCACTTATCTCTACCCTGCCTGCGGGGTAAGGACGTGCAGTTGCTGAGTCTGTGTGACTGATAAAATGCTTTAACCTAGGGATAGGCAAACTTTCTCCAACTGTAATTTCAAACCACAGCAACTCCCTGGATTTGAAATCAAGGGACTGTGTTTCTGACGGCCCAGTGTTGTGAGGTCTTGTGCATTTTAATCACAAGTCTAGAAAAACTCTTGTGTTTGTGGGAATCTCGCTTTTTTCTTTTTAATTACTTAAATCAAGGCTAATTTGCAGCTTTCTTTGCAGAGAAGAAAATAAAAAAGGCCTAGGAAAAGTATCTCAAGTGCATGGATTTTGGTGGGTTTTTTTTTTCCTTTTTTCAGACCCAATACATGATCTATTAATGCAAAGTCCTTCAAAGTGACTAAGCAGCATCAAATGTAGAACAACCCTAGCCTTATTTTTTCTGAAGTTCAGTAGCAATTCTATTTGAGATCTAACTGTGGGCTCATTAGCTTTGTAGAAAGAAATTAAAATGCTAAAATTTACTTGCCTCTGTAGAGGCAAAGGAAGCTCATATCTGTCTCAGGTGACTCCTTCGGCAACTCCATTTGGAGTCAAAGGCATCACAAATGCACAAAATCAGTTTAAGGGAAGTCAAAATTAGGCAAATATTATAGGTCTGTGTTTAATCATGTGTTTACAGTCTTCAAATAAAAGAATGTGGCCAGGCCATAGCAAACTTCACAATGAGGAAATCATGACATTTTAAGGAAGTTAAATCAGACTTTCTTGACTGCAGCGTAATGATAGCTTAAGCTTTTGCAATTTACATTATTTGTTCAAACAGCTGTCCTTGCTTGGGCCATCTTTTCCTGGGTAAACTATCACATACCTGTACCATATTTCAAATATACTCCTGGTGCATTTTTTTCTGCCCACCTAGTGAGAAAGGAAAGTCGGATCAAATTTTAATATGTAGTGCCAAATTGCTGTTGCCATGTCCCTTCATATGCATTTATGTAAAATTGATATAAAACACTGAGATATGAGAGATGCTTAGATACTTTTTTACAGGTATTTTGCAAGTCCTGAGCAGAAGTTTGTAATTAACTGTGCAAAATTTTAAAACATTGCATTTTTTGCGTATGCACTTCTGTATGCATATAACCTGCCTTGTGCTGGTATGTGCTGACCATTTGTGCTGGTATGTTAAATACGAAACGCAAACCTATCGTGCAGGTGTCTTCCAGCAGGTTTGAGGTCTGCATGTGAGTAGCAACAGGGGTGCTCATTTTATCTGAGAATGGCTTAACCACATTAGCACAGGGTGTTCTTCAGGAGTCTTGGAGGGGATCATTAGCTTGTGAGAGACGCCTGACGAGTCCATGGATGAGCTCTTGTCTGTGTCCTGTTCTCCACATCATTGATGCCAACCCACAGAGCAAATGCACATTTTTTTCATCTAAGTGCATGTACATACATTTGGGCATGCATCTCCTGGATGCTCTAATACTCCTTGGAAAACTATAGACCCTTCTGCCTAGTGAAGGAAGGACTGCAGGTACATCCCTTCATTGCAAAAGAGAATGGGCTGAGACTATTAAATGCAGAGCTCCCTGGAACATTCTGCATGCATTGTCAAACTAGCAAGACAGTTTTTTTCATGGTAAAACAAATTCTATATTGCACTGCTTCATCTTCTTTTTGTGGCAGAAGCAGTGTTTTTAAATTTAATTAACTTCATGTGGCACTGAAGAAATGGATGGCAAATCAATAATGAATGCCATTTCCATCACCTTGTGGTGCTGTAATTCTCTGTATTTCACTACTCTAATTAGATCTGACTTCGACGAAAGCGGCTGCAGGAGCAAGGGGTGAGTTACTGCTGCCTGGTTGTCTATGGGGAAATGCAGTAATCTCACTTCTGAGTAAACTCAGTAATTTTTAGGTGCAGTGAGTGACTTAACATCCAAGTGGGAGAGGGAGAATCCCACCTTTTTTGATGCTGTCATGTAATGTTTTGCAGGCTCAATGAGTTAGGCTTCACCTGCCCTTGCCTCACAGTTGGCATTTAACCATGTAATTGCTCGTATTTAAACATGCCCCACCCAAGATTGAGAGTTTGGGAAAACAGGTGAGTGTTTCTTCCATGTGAACCCAAGGCTCTTCCCACAAGCTGGGATAGAGTGAGAGCAGTGGGCACCAGGCCAGTTCCTTGCTTGCACCCATCCCTCCTCCCAAGGTCGCTGTTGAGGAGCATTGCAGTATACTACAGGAGAGCAAATCCATGGTAAAGCAGCTAAATCACAGTATAGCAAAAACAAATATCATTAACCTCATGCAAGGTTACATTTGCCTGGTTATAGACCTAGTGGAGTTCACTGGTGTGAAATGCTAGTGAAGAAGATCTTGCTGCTTGGCAGGCTGTAGGCATTGGAAGGTGGAAGGTGCTCCCTGCCAGAAGGGAGCAATGCTCCTCTGTGGTAGAGTGCTTTGGGCTTTGTTATAAAGAAAATGGGTGGATAGAAACAGAAACAAGGGAGAGGAGTGCTCTGAGGCCACTGTATCAGTGTTACAGGCCAGTGCCTTGCTTTTTTAGGAAAGTATGTGGACCCCTTCCTTTTATATTAGCATGAATTATGATTCCCGATCATCATTGCTTATAATATAAACACGTTGTTTCTAATATAAACCATTCCCACCGGTTAACACTGGCAGACTGCACGGCATGGAAAATTTCTGTTATTACACCACGTTTGCCCAGAGAATTACAGCAGGGATTGAAGTCATTTTGCGGTGGTTGAAATAGTACTGCGTGAAAGGTGAGATGGAGATACTATACTTCAGAGATAGCAAGCATGAAGCAGATGCCAAATTGGCTTTCCTGGGATGCTTTCTTTTCACCTTGGCTGTACTCCTGAGCCTGCAGAGGTGGTAGCCTGCAAATCTGTGCAACTGATATCCTGATGGCTCCTATGCCTTACCTAGCACCCCTTACCTAGCCTTGTAAAAAATCTTTGGGGAGAAGGCTGAGATCTACTAATATACAAGGCACAGCTTACATGGATATTTGAGTTAACAGAGATTTGAGTTAATGATGCAATATTGTGCTAAATATTCTGAAAACACAATATACAACACAATATAGAAGAATATATGTGAATATGTGTTAGCTAGTTTTAGTTGCTGTGTTAGCTACTAACTAACTAACAAAAGCTATTGCTCTGGAGCCTCTTTTCCTTTAAAAAATAAAGCAAGAATTTCTCAAAGCTCCACATAGTCTTCGTTTCTGCCAAGTTGAAGACAGTTAACTGTACCAAATCTCTGTGATGTATTAGTGCCTCTTGCAATGCTGTTTAGCAGCTGGTTTTAAAATGGCTTTTCAGGCTGCTTAAGAGCCAGGCAAGGCTTGTGCTTGAATACAAGGGATATATTTTGGTACATGTACAAGTTTGTGCAGAAGTCTTTGCTGTGTCTGTGCATGCAACTCTCTGCAGTATCTCTTGGATGTCTATGAAAGAAAATAACAATAGGATCATTCATTAGGGCTGATTTATTTTCATTTAGAAAATCTATGAAATAATGGTTTATTTTTTAATAGTGTTCTCTTTGCTCTAAATTTCTAGATAAGCTCTAGTGTCAACATTATTTCTCTGCCTTGGGTTGGTGCGTCAGCAGCGCACCTCAGAATTGGGAACCTGCCTTGCTTCTCAAGAAGGAAAGCGAATAATTGTAACTTTATTTGTTGCAGCTGCAGAAACTGAAACGATCCCTCTCCTTCAAGACCAAAAGCTTGCGGAGTAAAAGTGCAGACAATTTCTTCCAGAGGACTAATAGCGATGTGAAACTGCAAGTGGACTTGATGCCTGAGGTGAGCACGAGCACTGGTCAGCTCCCCAGCTCTGAAAGTCAGGCGTCCTCTCCCACAAAAGTCCCACAGCTGCCAGAAAACAACAAGGCTCACATCTTCCAAGAGCACATCTTCAAAAAACCCACCTTCTGCGATGTCTGCAACCACATGATTGTTGGTAAGAAACACTTTTTGAGCTCTTGATGTGCACCCATTTGAAAATGTCAAGTGACCTTTCCGTAACTTGCATGGTCTCGGGTGTGTACTCAGGAATGCATCTTTACAACTGGCTTTTTTTGCAGTTTGAACAAACTTTTGTCTGTAATTTTGTTAGCTTATCTTAAGAAGCTATTGTCCTTTGGCATGGAAGGTACTCCCTTTTGAATAACTGTATGGTAAGTTCCTGAAAGACATTGATTTGCTTGCTTAGCCTCCCTTAAAAAATGGTACCCCTTTCGACATGGGACGACTCGGTGTTCCCCCATAATGGAAATCATATTCTTCGTAAAAGGTAGCCGTGTGCAGAATGTTAAGTCTGATGTAAGACATCATAAATACATCCACAAATTGAAGTATTAAAAGCATAGGGCACTCACAGCACTGCTATTCTAATGAATTCAGGGAAATAAATGAGTTTTGAGCCTAGATTTTTGATGCTATTTGTGTTTTAAGATCCCCCTTGCTCTGGGGGGTTGAAAAGTCAAAGGAGGAAGAAATAAAGCATTAATATAAGGGAAGTTTATAGTCCAAAGATTGAGAGGAAGTCTGGAAGGTGGGTAGTTATCTGAAATAGCTTCTTGCATGGAAGCAGATCCAGAACTTGTCTCCTTTTCTCATGTGGCTGGATGCACTATCAAAATATCACAAATACATGCTGCAAATATAAATGCTTCACATTTCTGGGCAGCTTTTCACTGCAGTTGTATGAAGATAGGTGTGATCACAAATCTGCATGACTCAGCAATACTGTTCCAAAACACTGCTGCTCAAGACAGATTAGTACTGGCAGCAAGCTTTGTGCAGAGCCACTCCACTTAATAAACACACATGCTCTTCTGCCTTTGATAGGCTAGGCTGTCTGTGTCCTGCTTGCTACAGGAGTCCTAAAGCATAGCTGTAAGCTTCAACACATCAGTGGTAACCCCACCTGCCTTTTGAACTTTCCTCTTCTGAGGATTTCCCTTTTTCTGTTCTGCATTTTAGTCCTTTTGTTAGAGCATGAAGCCTTTCATGTTTGCTGGGTAGAAGATAATGCAACGTATTTTGTCAGGCAGCAGCCTGAGTCAGGTAAATTGCTCTCCTTTCCTCTGACAGAGCCTCTCTCAGAGATATCCCAGAAAAGACGTTAAGAGTTTTACCTTATAATGCTTTCAAGTCTAGAGGCTCTGATTCTCGTAGGCAAGTCTGCCATATTCCAGTAATCCACTCTCTTTGATCCTCACCACAGTCATGCCTGGTTTCACTGTATTGTATTTTAAACAGCATGGGAGATCTGGATGTTACTGTTTGCAGCTCAATTAATCCACATAAGTTGTGCAATTGTTGGTCATGGGGATGTTGAAGCAAAACAGGCAGCTTTTCAGGAAATTGTATCAATCCTGCTCCCAAAGGAAGCTTGAAAGTATTCACTTCTATCCAGTACTTCTAAGTTTTTCCCTGCAACACGGAGCACTGTTTGTTCCCTCTATTTGCATGTTTCACTGACAGCGACATTTGAGAGTAATGAGTCCATGACTTTAAATTCTTTATCGATGAGAGAAAAGGCAAAGCCTGGTTACATGTTTTGAAGACTGGAGGAAAGAGTCCAGGAAAATCCCAGCTTGTCTTTAGATGTCTTCAGTTTTGCCACCAAGGAAGATTCCAGGATCACCTTAAATGGCTCTCTCATCTATGCAGAGAGCAGCTCTGCTTGGTGTGGTGCAGCATGAAGAGCAGTGCATTTTCACAGGAGTGCAGCATGAGCTGTGGTCTTGCTCATGTGGCAGAGTGTTTTTGTAGCTTCAGAGCAAGCAGGCCTCTTGGAGCACAAGCAGCAGGCTTCCTGGGCTGCTCTTTTTGATGACAGCAGAAATAAAGAAAAGGAGCATGAAACATTATCTTCCTACAAAAAATATGTGCATCATTTTTCCTTGATCATTAAGCACCGTGAGCCAAATTTTGCTTTTGGGGTGGAGCACGTGCTCCTGTATGTTCATTTGACAGAAGCACAGTCATAAGATAAAGATCAAATGCATGTAATTGGTCTCAGCATTCAGAGGCGGATGTTTACAAGGATATGTATAATGCAAACTTACTTAGTCATTCAAATGCTTTTTGTGCACCTTAGAGTACACTGAAGTAAATTCAAAAGAAACTCTGTTTCCTTTGAAATAAAATATTAATAGTGTGTTTTAAGACTCACACTAAAGACCTCAGTTCAATCATTCCTATTAACTGTACTACCCAAGGACAAAAAGTTTCACCTCTAATCAAAAGGGCTAAACAAGAGAATGTAAAATAAGGGAGAGCATTTTATGTTCAAGAGAGGTCAAGAAGTGTATTCTCTTCTGCCATTATGAGCTTCAAGCATTGATCAGTTTGGGAGAGAAGATTCAGCTCCAAGATTTGTTATGTATTTTCCTAAAGATAAGGATAACCCCATATAGTCCACCCATGAATATCCACTCACAATGCAAATATTAGAAACCAGTTGATTTGGTGTTATTTCTGTTATAATTTATTACTCTTTTTTGGTAAATTCCACTAGATAAGATATTAAATCATTCATTTGGAGGAAGCTGAATTCTTTGCTTTATATCACTGTGAAAAGAAAATGAAGCTCAGAGGTGTGCATTAACTAAAATTCTGTGTGTTTTAACAAGAATTCGTTTGCTTTAGCAATGTCCGATAAGAGGAGACAAAATTGTCTGGCACCAGCAAAGACAGAAACTGTTAAATTAATGTTGCATCAGATTAGAGGCTTAAAGTATCCCAATCAGAAGCTGGGTTTTGCTCTTTTTTAGTCTCCAGTGTGTCATCAGTCATCTCCATGGTACTTTATTTTTGAAGAAAACATGATGTCAGTACTCTACTGTGTATTTTTTAAAAAATACTCCATCTGTAGGCTTCTTCTCAACGTTTTACTCATTTGCAGTTCATTTCCTGTGCTGACTCATGTGGAAAAAAAATTATTTTCCACACATTCCAAGCATATTGCATGCAATTAATGTATTCCTGTCTAAGACAAATATAAGTAGTGCATCAAAGAAGTAAGCCACTTTGGTTTTAAAAATAGCTGGCTTGAAAGTCAATCCTTCAGAGTGTTTTAAGAAAATAGCCACTCACTTATAACAACATCATATGTATATTTCTGTGTGTGTGTACATATTACATAGGTATATATGCATGTAAGGTCAATTTAAAGGTTCCATTCCAAGCTTTACCTAAATTCATGCACATGTTCTATTGAGATAGACACTGGGGAATCTTTGCCTACTGCACTATAATGCAGTAAACTTTCAGAAAGACCAAACAGAATTTGGTCTGTAATGACCAGTAATAGTCTAAAACAGGTCCTTTACGCTCATTACATCACTGCGCTATCTTTGGATATTTGTAATATTTAGGCTATCAGCAGCAGTGACAAAATGTGCATATTTTTCATTAAAACATTGCATACAAGTAATCTAGCCTTGGATAGATGTCTGTTCACCTTTCAAAAATTGTACCCCATCATGGTTTTCCATGGTCATCATGCAATATAGTTATTGAATTTAATTTAAAACCTGAACTGGACAAATCAGACTATCCTTGTAGCCTGGGTACATGATGCTTTTAGAGCTGATCTCAGGGCAGTTAAGCTTTTGGCTGGGATATAGAGTCTCCAGACCCTTGCAGCCCCAGGACAAAATAACCTAGTACTCTCTCTGAGAGAACTAACTCTACTCCAGCCAGAGAAACCTGTAGAAAGCAAGTGAACAAACAAAAGTAAAGCCAGTAATCATCTGCTAGCACAGCTGACTTCCAATCTACTTATCAGCAGCACTTGAGCAATAAAACTATGTTAACTCTTGAATATTGATTCGTTCGTACCACTTTATTTTCAGCAATTTAGCAGTAATTTAGGAGTTTCAACCAACCAATTAGAAGTGTCACCAATGCTTCCCTCTGTGCACATCTTTTAAAAATGCTTTGTGTTTATTCTATGTATATGTATTTATATTGCCCTTGTTTAACTGCCTGACCATATTATTCCGCTGTAGCTATTAACATTTTTAGCTATTTTCACCTCCAAAGTTGAATACAGCATTCTCCATAAAGCTAGGCTCAAAGCGAGTAAACTGGCCTAGCTTTTCCGAGCTAAGACAGAAATCTGAATTGAATCTATGGTGCCTCATTTTTGCATGTACCTCTTTACATGTACCCAGGCTATCACTGATTGCAACCAACAAGCAATGGAAAACCACCAAAATCTGCAGGAGCATTTATATAACTGTAATTTATGTGGTTGTTTACTAAATATAATAAACTTCACAGAAGCTATGACACAAGTACATTCTGTCTCCAGTCTGGTTGGCTCTCCCATAAAGAGTATTCTTAGTCTTTTTTTAAGCTTGCTTCACCATTGCATTAAGTAAGTAAATAAACACTCTGTTTGATTCAGAGCCTACATTTATGTGAACTTCTCCAGGTAGACAAGGGTGCGAGAAACAGTCATATGGCAACTGGTCATCACTGCCTGACATCTACAGAAGGTAGAAGTCCTGCTGGGTAGCATAGCTGCAACTGAAGCTGTTCCCAGAGCTATGGAATTCTGGAGGTCTCCCCCAGAGCTCTTCAAAAATGAATCCAGATTTATTTGTCCAGGCATTTTCTTTGAGAATAAAGGAAAAAATAATGAATGTTGTTACTCAATCAGTGGTCATCCCTGCCCTCTCCTTCCAGTCCCTATGTCATCTCTCACCTGCAGGGGGAGCAAGACCTACCAATAAGGCAGTTGTTTCCTACAGAGAATGGGGAGGTCATCAGTGGGGAGGAGATCCCTCTGGAGCAACTTGGGGATGGCTGGTGACTACTCCTTGGATGGGCTTGTGCGGTCACAACCTTTCCAGATCTGTTACCCAGTTGATAAAGTACTACAGTGTAATACAATGTGTGTGAATATAGCATATTGTTATTAATTTCTGTTTGGAAAGAGCT